AAGGTTCAAAAGGACGACAAAAAATTTGGATTCAGATATGATGCCATCATGTCAGTGATTGACTGGATCGGTCCTGATGTTGAAAAATTGAACCGCAGGCTAGTCTCACCCATAGCATGCGGGTGTTCCCGGGAAGCACTGCCAAGTAGTCCCACCCATGGCATGAAGGTGTTCTAGGGACCAGCATGGGAACCACTGGCGGCGGCCATAAAATGGTCATCAGGCAAAATTGTGAACCAAGCTTCTAGCTTGTAGCTGAATATTACACGGCACAAATCGAAGGTTTAAATCCTGACGGAAAATGGTAATGTTAGCAGCTACAACTATTAATTATCCTTAAACTATCATTCCCTTTCCTGCCGCACACGAGCTGGCCGCATGATAGGTTTGACTACAGGCCGCAAAGGGAGTGGATGAGTGGCGGTGTAAAATACTTTGAGTGCTCCAGGTTTCATGATATCTTTCTTCCCCCCCCCCCCCCTAAAAGGAGTTCATGATTTTTAAGCCCGGCCTATTCAATTACCTACCGAAACTGGATGAGTGGGGGTTTTTAAGCTCGGATTTAAAGCGGGTTACCATTTTTTTTTCACCCCCCCCAAAAAAWCAATTTCTTTTTTTAAACSCSCTTTKMCCCCCCCCCCCCCCCTTTCCCTCCGACAGCCATTGTCCCACGAACCGCCCCCCACGCCCCCATCCCGGCCTTCGTACGGCGACTGTCCATAAGGTCGTACAACCGGTATGAACAACGCCCCGTACAACGCATGAGGATTAACACAGTCGTGAAGGAAATTAGAGCACAGTGAAATGAAATCTGACCAAGGATTATAGAGCTGTTTCCCCCTTTTTTCACAAAGGAGTTTTCTAGGTGTGCTGAACCAAACCCTTATCCTTTCCCTATTTGGACACGTGTAACCATCATGCACAATAGTGAATGTTTCTGCCGTGCTGATCTTCTTTGGTGGCATGCCGTTCATATACGCATGCTCATGAATCATTGGGGCCACAACAATTCTGGACGGAATAATCGACCGAACTATCTTACCATATTATCATGAAATATGTATGAGCCTGTGATCGCAAAGTGGTGTATCAATTTTCGCTTTTGACCCATCATCTTTCCATAAACATTCAATTGTCGTTTTTGTATAGTGCAATCAAATAGTTGAGAATGAAAAATACAAGTCTAAGCTAAGACACTGACGTCGTTGGCCGCTCATGTTATCTCATGGGAGTACAACCACGGGTAAAGGCATTGACTTTTGATACCGACATGCAAAGGATTTTACTCCCGTTAACGCATACAATTCGACCTTTTCCATTGCATGTTCATTAATATTCAAATGCCACAAATTGAAAGGGCCTGGAGGTGTAAACCCTTTTGATACTTTTTGCGAACCAATGTGGTGGGGCGCACTCTTGGGGGGGGGGGGGGGGGGGGGGAGGGGGGGGGGGGGGGTACTGCCCTTGGCAAGTCCTCCCTCGTGACTCGAACTATGGGGGGCGGGGAGGGTTGCTCATTTTGTGTTTAGTGATAGACTGATTGATTGGTTGTGTGGTTGGTTGATTCATTGGATTTATTATTTGGATTGATTAATTGGTTCGTTGATTCATTGAATTGATTGAACGATGACTAATTTTTGTTCTCATCGCGGTCAAGGTTGTCGACGAAGGGAGGGAGGGAGTGGGGAGAGGAGGTCCAGAGAGGGTAATGGGAGGGTTGGAGGCGGAGAGCAGAGATGCGGAGTCAGTGGGAGAGAGCGGCATGGCAATATGTCTCGGCACGCCCATGCACT